AGCGCCGAGGATGAAGATGATCGTGGCTTCCGTGGCACCACCCGGATGACACTGGAACACCTTCGTCGCATTCGACGACACGTTACCCGATGCGCCGATTCCGAACCTTAGGTTGGCCCCGATCATCGCCATCAATTCACCTACCAGACAGATCGTTTGTGTCGAATAACTTGTGGTTAATGTGTGGAGTTATTGCTGTTAATCCCTTGACTTATGATCTATTTTTCCTGACTATGCATCTCTCTTCTTCTTTTTTCTTTTTACGTGGAGGAAATCTTCAAAAAGACCTACTCCGGTCCCTCTGGTGAGAGGATTCAGGGTCCTCGGACGTTACAAAAGGGTCCCCGGGAAGATTCTTAGGCCCAGTGTCTAGAATGTGTCACGTCAGGGACACGTACGCGACGAAATGTCGGTTGCAGTGTGCTTTAGTGCTGTGGGTGAGATGTGGGTGACTTCTATTCACGAAGCGTACAGCAAGGTTCGCGTTAGTTACGAAAATGGGCCTTACGCGTCATCACGAATGCATGTCGCGACGATGACAGACATCCGCTGTTTCACATTGGTCGCAGCATTGAAATGTACAGCAAGCGATGTTTCGTCGCGTACGCGTCTCTGACGTGGACATTGGGCCTTACGAATACGTCCAAAAACTCTCCGCTTCGCCAAGCCTTTTGGGTCTTCCTATAAGGGGGTCCCATAAGGACCCACACCTCATTTGGCGACTCCTGGCGGTGCCAGTTTTATAGGAAACGGAATGCAAAACGCATTTAGAGATTAATAAAATACAATTAGGATAAACAACACTGATAACGCTTTATCGCTTCGCAGAAAAATGAATCCCTCTCGCTATTGTTTTCCCTATTTATATGCGATCCGCGCTCTCTCTCTCTCTCTCTCTCTTCGCCACTCGCATCCCTCGCATTCGCGCAAACACACTCGCTCTTGTTTGATAACAACGAACGTCGGAAGGCTCGATATGATCGGCCCGCTCCGGTCATTAACCTCCTACAGTTATTTACTGTTCGAGCACTGAATTGGGTAAGAAAAGCTAATGTGCTATTAACGTGTAATTAATTACATTTGGTAATCCTCGGAGGTCTTTTTGCTGTAAAAAAGGTCACAAATCAGATATTCTTTGAAATTCTTTTAAACTAACGTAGAAATAAACTGTATGATTTTATTTCAATGTTCGATGCATTTTCTATTTCACTATGGCGAACAAATTTACGGAGATCCATAGATCTTTCTGTCGCGATTAATGATTTATCAAGTGACAATTGTTCAGTGTCGCTTTTCAGTCGCCACTCGATTAAGTTAAAAAGAAAGTTGGAATTAAAATTAATTTTTATTACTAATATAACTGTTTCTCTCAAATCTTGACCAGAATCTGTGTCACGCGTCTGACTCGTTGTTATAAGGTAAAGGGTTAAGGGAGTTTCTTTGTGTTTCATGTGATGACTCTATTTCAGTATACAGTGTCATGTAACTTGTGGTAGAAGCGAGAGGATGGTGATTCTGCATGAAAAACTAAATGGATTTTTCTATCATACCACCTATAACCATAATTCATGAGACTGTTCGATACTAAACCTGGCGTCGTGAATTCTCGAGTCTCGACGATTGTGGCTAAAATCATAAAAAACCGTACGAAGTGCGAATAAGCTTAATGGTAGATTTGGCCGAGGATTAACCGGCTTAGATAACGAAAATGAATCGTTGTTGCGGAGAAAATGTGCTATGGATTCCAAGATAAAAAGATACACTACCGACCAAAAGTTTCGGTTCACTGTGCATCGCAAGCTTATACAAAAAATTTCCAAAAATAGGTCAGCAAAATTAAGAACTTTTTCACGAATTTTTTATTACTCAGATTAGTCGAAGTAAGGTAAATTAATATTAATTAATATTGATGTAGATTGGCAGACGATTCGAAACTTATGGTCGTTAGTGTATGCACAGATCCTGCCGCGTGGACTGTGCACGTATCGCGCGCGTAATTCACTTCTTATCTGCCAACCCAGGACTCCTGTTTTAAAAACATCAATGGTATAAGGAGTACTAGAAACGTTGGTATAGTGAACCATTAAGGAAGAACATGCGCTAATTCCTAAAATTCTTGGAATTAGGACATATCTCTGGTGGGCGGGTAAAAAAGTAACTAAGTGAAACAGGACCTACATTGCTGCCTTTCATGTAGTTCTAATAGTACAAGTCAAATAGTATATGTCAAAAATACAGTACACCCAGTTCTGTTTTCACACGGTAGATACGTTCCAGAAAAGAACCGTGTAAAAAACAGACATCGTGTACACACACGGAAAAATAACGGATTGGTTCCATATCCTTAAAACCTGTAAAAAATAGCTAAAATAAAAGGATTCATACAAAAAACTTTATTAAGAGCCTTTATAAAAAGCCAAATTTGATTTGCATGCGCATTCATGCACAGTTTATTTTATAAAAACAAAAGGTAACTGAATTCTTAAAGTAGAAGTAATTAAAAATGATGAGAAATTCAGGAATTAAAAGTTGAAATCAGTGATAGTGATGAAAACAACATAACTTCATTCGCTGTCATCGTTCGCTTGCGTAAGACTGGTTCAAAATCACTATCATCGCTCGAAATATCGAATGAAAATGTGTAAAAAGGAAATTGAATTTATTTTTCTAGACCGTGTTAAATGAAAACCGTGTAAAAACAGAATTTGGTGTATACTAAAAGTACTTCTTTGCAAAACTAATAATTCTGACCTACACTCTTCTGCCCGCCCATCAGAGATATGTCAAAGCAATGTTTTACTAACACAACAATTACCTATTCAGTACTGTTACACAGTTTTGCAGAAACTGTGTGTCAAATGTCCGAAAATTTTCAAGTTCACAATTGGACAGTTCTGTAAGAGTTCTGTTCGAAGTCCGATCTTCAAAGGACGAAGTCCAACTTGCGAACGTCCGCGAAGTCGAAAAATATTCTGTATTAAGTTCAAAGACGTTCCGTTTAATCTGTGGCGGCCCATGCAGCGCGCACCGCGCCACATTGTAAACACAATCCAGACTGTGAGAACGTGTCTTTCGTCGCTGTCGATGTCGCGGCGGGCCGATAAGGATGGCTGTCCTCGGAAAGCGGGGAGACGCTTGAGATCCGTTCCGAGGGCAGCCAGGGTCCCGACCGGCGACGCCAAGGGAGTCAACCGCCGAAAGTCGCACGAGCGACATCAGACATCTCGTCTGGTTTTTCTAAATAAAAGATTTCAAGCGCGTGCACGCGTACGTTTATTCTCCCGTCACCCACAAGTGCTTTAGCTACGACAGTGTTGACCGCGCGTGCACTGCCGCTGCAAGGGGCAGTCAAAAACACGAGCGTACACTTTAGCGACAGAGTATAACGTTATTTTTTTCGTTATCTTCACAGTTGTTAGGACAAATTATGCGAGTAATTGTCAAGTTGACGGGAAAGCATGTTGAAGTATTACTTCAATGCAAAAGGGTTGAGGTAGAACTGCAGTAACCGTGATACAAATTGCAACTCTTCGTTTTTATAAAATCAAACGAAATTGTAAATTTTAGGAACGACCTTTTGCTTTCTATTGAGAACTGACAAGGCTTTTATTTACGATCACTTTTTGACAAAATATCACAACGGAAGCTACACGGAACATCCTGTGTATTCAAAGACTGTAACACATAAAGTTCCGCGGCAGCGGCGCTTAGTTCGTGTTACATATTCATCGGTTTAGCCTTTAAACTTCGTTGTACTCGCGCTGCCGCAGGAAATTCTTGCTAAAACCTATTCTACTTCATTGTTGGAACATAACTCAATATTCTCGACCTTTGTTCGAATTCTAACGCATTTCCTATATGCTGTTTCATTTGAGAATTTCACTTTACCTAAAAATTGCCAACTTGTGAATTAACGAAAATGGTATTTTTATGGAATCTTCGCTGAACTGTAAATCTTGCATTTGTCAGCAGCATTTTTGAAAAATAGATCTTGTAAATTTTGTCCTTGAAACATACAAGGATCCGTCAATTTACGCCATTCCTCTGTCTTTAATCATTTTCGAGATATTAGACCTTACCAAGGCATCTATAATAACATTACAATGTAAGTAACAAGGTATATACAGAGTGTAAAAAATGAAGAAGAACATTCGTCACGATGGAGAAGATTTGCGTGAGAATTTCTGATCTTTAGATTCGCCGTTCGGTGTTTTTCTTTTCTCGTTACTTTTCTTCGCTGAAATCGATAGAGGGAGGAACGAATTGAAAAGTTTCTGAACAATTCCTTGATATTCTACTCTGTAGCCTGCTTGTTCGTTCATAGGAACGGGTCAGAGTCTAATTAGGAATTTGGTGGACTTGAAATCACTTCTGCTCCTTAGCGGAGGCAAACATAAACCCATGGGAGCTGGTCAGACCACAATTTAGGATTGCGGTTCTCCTAAATTAAGGGCACGTGCAACGTCTTCGGGCTGCATACCTGTAGAGTTTGTGGGCTGTGTGCAAAATCCGGAAAATTGCTTAATGGGAGTCGGAAAGATCCATCTTATCTCTGTTAAATTTGCTAACTTTGTGTACCTCTTCCTCAGGTGTCCACTTGCAATTAACGCGATCTGATATTTATACAAATAAATAAGCATTCTTTTGGTTGCTGTGCATTGGTATTAATTAATGAAAAGGTGTTTGTTCTTTTTCTCGTTTAATACGAAATACAGTGTTTAAGTGGGTTTAATCATGTAAGTGGAGCATCCAGTATGTGTAACACGTTAAATGTTAATAAACACACTCGAACATCTTTGAGACCGAGTAACTCTATTTTGTACTTTATTTCATGTTTCTGAAGAGAAAAGCGCAGGAACACCTATATCTTTTTATCACGAGTGCTTTTTAAAGTGCTGTACTATTATAACTGGTCCTTCGTTAAAGAAAAGATGCAAAATCCACTTGAAAATTTCGAAATAAGGCTATTAAAAAGTTTATTTAACAAAAGTAATTGAAATGTTCTTAAAAAAAGCGATAAAAGTATCTCTGCTATTAGAAAATTCGCTTATATTCGTTAATATTTATTGTACAATGCCAAACTCGTTTAAAACGTGCTCTTTTTTCGTAATTATTCCTTTGCATTTTACAATATAATATAATTATTTATAAAAAAATTTGCGTTCGTCTAATTTAAATGAATTGTGTCATTTTAAATAGCAAAATACGAATAATAACATATACCTTTTTCTGCCTTAAGAAACATTTATCAGTTTTCTCACGTCTCTAGCTGGATTGTGGAGAGAACTTTTTTGAGGGAATCAGTGGAAGTTATATCAGACGCCAGGTTGGAATCTGATAAGAAGTAGTAATTCTGAGCAGAAAAGTTCTGCAAATTTTCCTCTTTCGAAAGTTTATTCATCCTATTGAAGAATTTATGAGGGTTCTTTGATTGCAACGAGGATAATTCCTTTCGAAAGTTCTTCAGAATGTTTCTTA